ACCATTCATGCCAGATACACATGTAATAGTCCTTACTTTAATACACATTTCAACCCGCTCCCTGATAATAACCATATCTGAAAATGAATCAGAAGTACTACCAAGCATATGTTGAAAATACGGACCTCAGAGGGTACTCATAAACAAATCTACTAGTTTCCGGTCCAGGAGAGGAGGTTGAACCCTCACGGCCAAACTGCGCCACCTCTGGGTGTACTCTTTGAAAGACTCACTAGTCTTATGAGACATACTCTGTAACTGCACACAGCTAGGTGCCGTGGAAGTATTGTAATGATAATGTTTCAAGAAAGCATCAACGAGTTCACCCCAAGTACTAACATGAGTTTGCTCCAAATGCATGTACCATTCTAATGTAGCTTCAGCTAGACTATCCTGAAATAAATGCATGAGCAATGGCTCGTTGCTAGCATAAGCAACCATCTTTCTGCAGTAAGATGGGAGATGAGGTACCTTAAACTTTGGTGGAATCGTAACCCCTGGAACCAAACACATAGCAGCAGCACTGCATCCCGGTTTCTTAGAAGTCTCCATATCCTTCAGGCGTTCTTCCAAAGCCTTGTACATCTTAGCAGTTTCATACAAATAAGTTGTAGAATCATTTGGAGGGTCATCGAGATCGATTACATCATGGTGGTAATCCATAATCATTCGTGGGTTCTCTTTAGGAATTCCCCCATTGTCATTTCTAGGTCCAGCATTCTCGGATGTAGAGGCACTGTCAACCAGCTTAGTAACACTCAGTATGAACTCTTCCTACCCTTGGATGACGACATGAAGAGTTTCCATGAGCTGATTCATCCGATTGCCCATGGTGTCCATGTCTTTGCAGAGAGCATCCTGGTTCTGCTTAATCTGTTCCATAATCCTCAACTTGTTGGCTCGAGTAAGATAAGGGTGTAAGGAAGTTGTCTTGTAGATTCTGATAATAAGAGGAAAAAACCATCAGATAAAATTCCCGCCAAAAAACTTGCAATTCATGATATGCATGATATGTATGATGTATGAAATGATTTTCCATTCCAGTTTTGCACATATCAATTAACGTCAGTAATAATCGAGCAACATGATAATAAGGACGACCATATAAAGAAAATATCTATAAATATGAGAATTTCCCACGGAATTCAATACAAGAGAGTTGCAAGAATACAAGATAAGCGATTCCGTCCAACAAGCCTGAAGGTACTCAAGACGATAATACAATAATTAGCATGAAGGTAGGCTACCGTTCTTTATCTATGTCTATCTCACACTACTAAGGCCCAAATAAAGTTCCTTAACAATAGCTTCAAAGTCATGCTCGCTCAGAACAGCACCAAGTATGTACTCGGTAGTCTTGAACAAATGAGAGTATTCTTCCAAAGTTGGAATGATCTGATAGTCCTGGAAGGTAAAACAATGTAACTTATAGTCGTAAAACTGAAATAGAGTCAAAGTGCTACCATGTCTCTCACTAAAAACCTCTGCATCAAGACGGACTAAACGATTTTTTTAACTCTTCAAAGAAGGCCAAGAACATGAGCGGAAAACTTGAGCAACACTGATAAGTACAATTGTCTCTTCTGGTCCTCTTGAGAACATCACTGTTGCTAGACATTACTGACGGAAATTATAACTTCGTGAGATAACTCTGAATGGACATGCACATGCAAGGTTAGTATATAGTTTTATTTTTTGACATTTCTTATAAAATATAAATATGATATGATGTAAGTGCGAATGATCATGGGGTTACTACTTCCATGATACTAATTTCTGTTGTACTGTCTCTGCATAGCCTGTAAGTACCATGATCACAGGTCCGGAATATAAACCAAAGAACCTCGTGAATAGATTCAGAACTAAGAAAATAAATCTGAAAACCTCATAGTCACTGATAGAAATCTAGAACATAACCATTAGAACAAATAATCACCGTGTGAACATGAGTAACCATCTGAACATAGTCACCATTTGTACCTGTGATAATAATTCCCGCACCACTCATGAGTGAAGACTAGGTCAGGGTAAGGTAATGGTAACTCAAAATCACGGGTTTGCTTGAGAGTATTATCATCGTACACCTACGTGATAATGATATAACCTCATTAAAACCTCATTTGAGCATGGACGACACAATCGTCTAGGGTAATTTACATCCCTTATCTATCGTGTTCCACTCTATTCCTAGTGTTCCTGTGGTTGTCACTTGGCCTGGGTATTGGGCCTTTTACCTCTTGTAACACCCACCCAACAAGAAACAAATCCAATACAACAGTAATATATGGAAAACAGTAAAATACAGGGCATACATATGCTCAGGCATATACAAAATGGATGAATAAATAGAAAGCATGAAAAATAAACACCCAAAGAAAAGAAACAAGAGCTAGGATTAACTCCAGGATGGACCAGAATTTGGTAGACCCATCCCCAGTGAAGTCGCCAGCTGATACAACCGGCTGAAAATCATCAAAAATTGAAGTCGCCATCGAATGTCTTTTACCCCACATGAAGGGAAAGGTAAACATCGAGAAAACCTAAGAAGGGAGAAGTCACGGTATTGCGACTGAGAGATTGGGTAAGGGAGTCTGTTACGCGAGGGGAAGATATTAGCACCCCACACGGCCGTAGTACTCTACGGTATCCACTCTTGTTATCTATATAAAGGTGTGTTTAATCTATGCTTAATATTTACTATACTACTGAAGGGAGAATGCATGCAAAAGAAATGAGAAAAGAATATAGGGAAAATAAAATTGTACTCGCTTGGGCCCTACCCCAATGCTTACATATCCTTTTTGAGGAATCAGAGCTACCGTAGTTCGGCTCACATGTTTTTGTTTATTTTGTGTTTTTTATGGACAATATTAATTCCGCCTTCTTCCGCAGCTCGACCTTTGGAGACTTATGTGTTGACACATAAGTAAATTAATCATGTCCTTACCTGAAAAGGGTTTTAGAGAAAAGGTGCTTGGGTGCACAAAAAGGTTTGAATTGGTTTGTATTTTTTTTACCTTGAAAAAGGTTTAAGTGTGATCAGCATGTTTTATGATTTGTTAAGGAAAAAGTTTTAGTTTTAAATGCAAGGATGCAAAAGGGGAAGAAAAGAGTCTAAGGGAGATAAACCTATTTCTAACCTAATGTTATCATATAATGGTAGACCTACATCAAGGGTGAAAGGGGAATCTCTACCTAATGTTAGCATGCATGGTTTGCAACCTAAGGTCTAGCTTGCATCTGAAAGGAACAAGCACATCCTAAGGGAACATGATATGTACAAGGATAAAGCAAACAAGCTAATAAGCTCAAGAGAGCACACCTAGAGAAATCCTATCTAGGTTAGCATGCCAAAGAAAGTATAATTATAGGGAACATACAATGAGAGCGAAGCCGTGATCTCAATTTCTAAATTGAGTGACTCGTCGTTCAACAAGAAATAAAAGAAAGCGATAAAATCCTATAGGGAGCATGCACTGAGAGAAAAGTTGTGATCCCAATTCCTAAATTGAGTGACTCATCGATCAACAACCAAAGAAACAAACACAAGCACAACACATATAACAAATGAAGTGCGTAATGCCTGCTACAGGTCTTTAAACAGTGACTTCGAGTGCACGCTCTTTATTTCCTACTTCCCATGGCATCAGAAAGTAGTAAAGCCCTACTTCTCATGATTTCTAGAAAGGCAGTAAAGAAATATAGTAAAGTGCGGAGAAGTACGAAAGTAGTAGCGAGGACTACCAAAGCGAGAAGATCGTCGAGAGCAGAGAAAGCAATGGAGAAGAAAGGAGTATGCATCGAGAAAGCTTCACCAAGAAACAAACAAAGTCAGAAACAATATCCAACTAAGATAAAGCAAACTTGTGTTGAAAATGCAACGCGTAATCAGAAGTTCTTGCGTAAAGTATCACAAAATATCACATGTATCAGGACAACATATAATATGATATGAATTTCTCAAGACGATGAGAGCTAAGGAGTGTCGCATTATAAGCGAGCATAATCCATATGCTTCAATCATATAACAACTTGTTATGGTACATAATCGAAAGCAAAAATTACCTTGTACAATGAACAAACGCGTTAAAATAACATGGCAAAGTGGTGTGAACATACAGATGGAAACAAGAAAGAAAAAGCATTTTTATTATTAGTTTTTTATAAACTAAAAGGAAAATTATTTTTATTATTATTTTTTATGTAAGGAAAATTCTAAAAAAACTAAAGAATTAATTCCTAAAAATTTCTATTATATTCTACTATCTTTTTTAATGGTTTTGCATTGTTTTTATCATGCATTTTATTGGTAAAAATTAACAAAAAAAGGTCCTAATTCTAATGGAGAATTAGTGAATTCAGGGGGTGCCAATTTGAGTCCAGGGACTATCTCCAGCATTAATAATGAAGAATTAAGCCCAATAACAGATGCCCAAAATGCTATTTTTTTGTACCAATAACCTTTCGTAAAAAACGTGTTGAGCTTCAGAGGGAATGTAGTACCCCCAGACGCATGGGCCCATCATCAATCAACCAGCTTTTTGTTTCACTTCAGTTCATCAAAAAAACCAATCATGAACCTAATGGACTTCCGGTCCGGTTAAAAAAAATCCATTATGTTTTATTTTTTCCGGTTCAATTGAAAAAGGAATTAGGGTAAAGTGTTGTAACTATCTATCTTTTTCACGCGGATCCTCGCCTCTAACTCTCATCTCTGTATTCTCCAGAAATCTCTCCGCCATGCCAGAGGTGACATAGCTTTAACCATCACCTCAACTCTTACATCTTATTCTTCGCCACTTCCTCGTGAATCCTAATCTCCCACTCTCCTTCTCCGATTCTTATTCTATATCTACCGAAAAGAACTCTAAAACCCTAAAATATTCAAAAACTTAATCAAGTGCTCCAATCGAAGCTTCAACATACAATTCCACAGAAATTTAACTCGTAAGGCTCTTCTCTATGCCATAATGTCAAGATCGAAGTGAAAAGAGGGAGAAATGAGCGACTTGCATACCGGAGCAGTTCCGGTGACACTTCAACGGTGCCAGTTTCGCAAGAAATCCAGAAGCAATAGTACGCTTCCTTATAGTTGCTTGAGAGTAATTTCTACTTCTTCTTCTTCCTTTATTTCCTTCGTTCTCTCTTCTTTGAATTCATTGTTGTGATTTTGTTGTTCGTTGTGGTTGTTGCGTGTGAGGTTGAATGAAGATGAAGAATATTGCAGCCATGTAGCATAGAGAGAAGTGAGTTACAGGATTGAAGTGAAGAGATTATGGTTATTGTTGCCGTGAAGAAGTTGTGAAGCATATAGAAGTTGCTAAAGAATGCAGTTGAAGATGATGCGTTGAAGAAGATGACACAGAGGAACATAGAAGATGATGAAGAAGGCGAGAGAATTTCAGAGGCTTGTAGAAGACGAATCCCTGATTGAAGCTGCATAAGTGAGAGAGGTCTAGAAGTGGATGAAGAATGGAGATGAAGAATCTGGTGAGTTTCTTATACTTGATTTTCCTTTTCCTTTTTTCTGGTGAATTTTATGAATGTTGTAGATGAGTGAATCATGAATTCCTTTTTCTCTTTTTGCCTTTCTCATCTCTTTCTATTATGAACTTTCTGTTGAATCCGTTATGGAACTGGTTGAGGAATTATGTTAGGAGTTTGTTATGGACTGTTTTTGGTTATGACAGTTAGACAGTTAGTGAATTTGGTTAGTAGAGCGAGAGTTATGGTTTTTTCTGTTATGGTTAGTTTTACTGCTGTAAGTTTCTGTTAGGATTTATTAAACAGTTGGGTGAATTTTTTTTTTGTAGGATTGGTTAGAAGGTTGGTTAGATAGAAGCTGTTAGGAGAAGTTAGTGGTTGTTGGTTGAATGGGTTGGGAGTTAGAGAATTCTGTTTTCTGATAATTACACGAGCTGGCCATTTCTGACTTAACCCCCTAATCTTTCCATTTTATTTTCTACATGTTGCTGACTTAATTCTGCAGGCTGTTTGTATTGTGACTGAGGCCAGATTTTGTTTATGCAATATGCAGGGCTGGCTCAATAGCAAGTTATTTTGATGGATAACTAATCTATTTCAGTTTTACAAGGTCATGACGTGGTTTATGTGACATGGTTTAGTTATTTTTGCTAACTAATTTTATGGTTTTAGCCTAATACAGTGCGGTGGCAAGAGGATGAAGGGCCTGAGCTTTAAAGCTGGAAATTTAATATGCAAGGTGATGATACTAAATAGGCAATTGATGCAGGGTAATTCTTGGTTGCTTTCTCGATTGTTGATTTACTTTGGTTTTGTATTAATGTGCAGGGCTGCGAATTGAATGAAGGCTCGAGAAAGCTTGGAAAAGGCATGACATTGAAGGCATAATCATGGAGTTAAGGCAATTATTTTAAAGCCATGATGCAGCTTAGAATTAGGAACAACATGACTAGGCATTGTATAGATTTTGGTAGAATGTATAGGCCTTTTTGTGTGAATTTCATTGGAATTGGAATGTATCTTGATGTAATGTAATGAAATATTTGAACTTCCTTGTTGAACACTTAACTTTAAATCAACCTTTGACAAATCGTGACCTTAAAACTTTCTTGATGCCATTTGAACAAATCAGGAACCTTTGGCGAATGGATGTTGTTGAAGGAAGCTTGAATGAAAAAATTGCGGATTTTGCCAATTCATTTGAATCTTGAATAAAATCAATAAACGAAATCCTTGAATGGATGATGAATGAACTTGTGAGATTGATCATATTGAAATGGTCTTGATCACCTAAATTTGGAAATTTGTATGAAACCAATGCTTGAATCTAATTCTTACACAAAATCAACTTGCATTTTCAACGAATTCTTAATTCATTTCCATCTTCTAATTTGTACTAAACTTGTACGTTAAGCAACAAGTATTTGAAATAATGACGCCCTGAGCACCATGGACCTTAAAACTCAACACCTTGAATCATGGTTCAACAGTGGTATTAAAGATCAACTAAACCTTGAGGAAATCTGGAGAATGAATATGGGAATATGGAAGATAGCCTTGACTTGAAAATCCAATGATCCTCGGTTGAATATCAACAGACGAAAACCCTAATTCTTAAGCCTTGAAGAAATATTGCAACTTGATGTTAGGAAGAAAGAATACCCCCGTAGTTTGACGATAAAGTAGTCCAGGAAATAAAACCCTAGCTTCAAACAAATGATTGATGGAGAAATCAACCAAAACAAGCTTGTGCAAAGATGAGAGCCTTAAAGCCATATAACAATCCTAATTCCTCTAAAGTCATGATCCCATGCCATAAATTTATTTATTAACGATTCATGACATACCAAATGGCCTAACGGGAGGTATGTACATGAAACGAGAAGTGAAAAATGCATAAGCCAGATAAAAGTAAAAGAGTAGGACAAATTTGGGGTATTACAGACACCACACGGTAGCCTAGTATTCTCCCTGACTGACTCGAGGGACACCGATACAAACCAAAGTGTCGCACTAACATAGCCATCACTTCAACCATATCGGTCTATTCCGTACAATTTCCATGATCTATAGCTACTTACCTAAGGTCCCCAAATCTGGATATAGGATCTTTGCAAGAAAAGTAAACCCAACCAAACCCAAAAGCAGATAAAGCAAACAAATCAAGCAAAGAAAATAAAGTGATCTAATCTAAAGGTAACCCCTCTTTTTTAGTTCTCCCCAGCGGAGTCGCCAGTTCTATAATACGGTTGGAGAAGTGACTTGTTTTGCATTTTATCACAAATGTTGCAGATAGCAAGAGTCTCCACCGACTTTTCGTTTATCCAAGAAGGAAAGGGTGAAAAGAACAGGAAAGTCCTTAAAGATTTTGAGTTTGGGGGGTAGGTTATGAAAAGGGAATGTGTTAGCCCCCTTTTCATCCGTAGTTATCTACGGTCTCTTAATCGCTTAGCTCGCTTTGAAAATTTTCTTTTTTGTGTAAGTGAAAAATATTTTGAAATCGCCAATGTAAGGCAAACTTTGTAATGATTCTTGTATCAGTCCTCAAGAATGCATACAAAGTTTTTGTTTGAAAATATTTCGTTTTGAAAAGTGTGATGTGAAAATGTTTTATTTTGAAAATTTTGTGAGCGAGCGATTAACAATATTCTACCCACTCAAGGTAGTTCTTGTCATTTTCCTCCTCCTTTAGAGATAATGATATTCATACCATTAGTTGGTTGGAAGCCCTATCTTTTGGATGTGAAGGGACAAGCGAAGGGTCATCGTTCGGTCAATGAAGGTAACATGTAAGGATTCTATAGCAGTTTCCTAAGGGACTAGATCATGTTATTCATAGGCAACATCAAAGGGTCATCGAAGGACTATAATCTTTTGTATAGAGGGTCTTTTGCTAAAGCATCCCTACTTTCGAGGTACATGACCGTTTAATTGAAAGGCAACAAGAAAGGCTACCCTAGAGGTGTGCATGTGCAAGTGTTTTGCATTCAGTTATTTTGTCTTGAAGATAGGTTATCTATCGATAGGTTTTTATCTTTCCATACAACCCTAATTACTAAGCGGTAAAATAGCAAGTATAAAAAAGACAGTAAAGGTGTGGAAAGTAAATGCAGAAAAGATAAACCTAACCTATTACACAGTGTGATACGGTGGGAGAACTGACTTGGGGTTTTGCGTTTGTGTTTGCAAAATGTTGCGGTTTAGCAAGAGTCGCCACCGAATTTTCTTTTATCCAATAAGAAAAGGTGAAAAAGCACAGGAAAGACCTTTTGAGATATTTTATTGAGTTCGGGGGGTAGATTATGAAAAGGGAAGGTATTAGTACCCTTTCCATCCATGGTTTTCCATGGGCTCTTAGTTACTTCTTAGATCACTTTCTTTTATTTGAAAATTATGCTTTTATGTGGTTTTGAAAGTATTTTGAAAAGGTGCCATCGTTTAGGCGAACTTTGCAATGATTCCCGTTCGTAAGAATGTATGCAAAGTGTTGAGCTTTTGAAAATATTTTAAGTTTTGGAAAGATGTATGTGATTGTTTTGAAAATAGCAAGGATGTTTATTTTGAAATTGAGCAAGTAACTAAAAGTAATCTACCTACTCAAAAGGTTTTAGATGTGTTTTTCCTCCTCCTTTAGATGTGGCTACCTTACCATTGATTTGATAAGAATCCCCATCGTTGGATGTGAAGGGACAGACGTGGGTCATCGTATAGTCATGATAGCAATGTTGTGAGATATCTTAGCATTCTCTTGTAGGGACTAAGATCACTTGTAAGGCAACATTTGTAGCGTCATCGAGGGACTATGATCTTGTATTTGTGATTGTTTTTGCTAAGATACCCCACATGCATAACATGACCATTTTTATAAGGAAACAAGTGGAATTTCCCTAAGGGTGCATGTGTGCAAGTGTGTTTGATTGCATGTATTTTGTCTTTGATTTTTGGGTTGTCTACTTGATTTTATCTTGCCATATACACCTAATTACTTAACATTTATATGAAGGTAATAAAAGAGTGCAAAAAATAAATCCAACACTATTACAACCATATTGAATTGCATGAAAATATAAAGGCAAAAATAAGGTAAAATCAAGAAAAAAATGGATCTTTCGATTTAGGGCAGCAAACCCTTCGATTCTGCCATTTCTGGCTCTCTTCGACCTTACCTGAAAAGGGGTGAAGGAATGAGTTTCGAATGGGGCCTAGAAACCAGCATATTTTGGCTTTCAATTGGGGCCTGGAGGCCAACATGTTGTGCCTTATGGCTGCCTCTTTCATTTGGCCTGAAGGTTAGTATGGAAGTGTTTACCCTGGGAATTGGTAAACAACCGTTGATCTTCCAAAAGGTTACTTATTTGGTGACTCGCAGGATCGATCAGATTGATCCTAAGACATGGTTGATTTTGGGGTTTTGACTAAGTTTGGTAATGATTAAATGACAAGAAAATAAAGAAGCTTTATGTAAATTGCATGAAGAATAAAAGGAAGGCTTAAAATGAAGGCTTCGACAGGAAAAGTAAAGGAGAAAGCAAGTAAAATTTCTGGAAAATAAATGACTTTGATTAATAAAGTGGTGTTTCACACATACATTCTCAACAATTCTTTCTCTCACGCTGGGTACTCGAATCTATATGAGTGACTTGTATATATTTGTGAACACACACGAAAAACTGTGTGAACTACTAATATTTATACTAAACACATTCCAAGTAACCGTCGGGCAGTTATGCTGCTTCGAGATGACTCCACTTGGCACGTTCACAGCGTTCGACGCTCCAGATATTGGCACGTTGCACTTGGTAACCGCTGGGAACCGTTTTCCCTCCAAACGTTTGAATCTCAAACCGTTCCACTCTGAGCAATCGAACACCTTTGTCGAGAAGCACCTTCGACGTCGAAGGCAACAAGATTCCTTCTTAGAAGAAATTCTCTAAGTACATTGCCATCTTCTGATGAGCATTTCGACAGACCCAGCTGGTCGAAACCATCCTTCAGCTTTAATGGCTGATATTAATAAAGATAAGGGTGTCGAATTTAGGAGCCAACAAATTGCCCCCCAAGAATGCCTTATTTCGACTCTGAAAAGAAAAAGGCATTCTTTGAAATTCCATTCGACACATGTCTTTTCATTCTTAGTCACAAATTAAACTGTGCACTTTTTGTCTTCTACCAACCACTGACAATCCCAAGAAAAAGCCATCATTTCATCCGTACCTAAAACGTCACCTCAGTACGGCGTGCAGCGTGCCCAATGTCTTTTCACAAATTGTCATCATGACAATTTCCCAAAAACGAGGGCGCACGCTGCACCCTTTCAATTCTGCAGAACGGCTATGTCAACAGGGGGACGCCACGTGTCCCACTACCTTCTGCAACATTAAATGGCCTCGAGTTTGGGGATTTCCCCAACCATTATAAATAGCGCCAAGTACCCATTGTGGGACTTTTTCACGCTATCCTGCCTTCCTTGTGGAATGCTGACACCCACGCTTTTCGACGTGGGCGCCATCACTGGCCTTCGACCCACTGGGGATTATTTCGACCCAGAGGAAATGTCGGAGGATCAGATTGGATTCTCCGCTACGAAACCCACCTACACCACATATATCAACCATTACCATGATAAGTCGACGGCCACTGTGTCGGATGTAGAGCATATCGCGTTTCTAGCCCTATGGCTGTCACGCTTTGTGTTCTGCACAAAGTCTTTACAGGTGACAAAAAAGATGGTCACCCTCGCCACCCAACTCCACCATGGCCAAAATATTTGTTTGGCAGAATTAATTTTGGAAAATCTGTATGAGTCGATTAGCAGTGGAGCGACTCTGTTGAAGATCATCGAGAATAGAGCCAGTCTGCTGCTTGCAGAACCTTTTTGGCTACTTCAG